GGAACTTCAAATATAGTTAGAAGTCTAAATATACCTGAATATCTCTGCATTATATACAAGCAACTTCACTTTCACAGATGTTATCAGATCTTGCTAGCTTCTGATATTAAGAAGAATCTACAAATTCAAAGCAAAACTCTTACTGCACATTTCACTGAATATTCTTTCCATTATTTAAACAACCATTAAGAGATTGCTGGCTGAATAGCTTCAGTGGTCTGAAGTTTGATCCCCCACTGTGTATCCCAAGAAAAGAGCCAACCTTTGCAACCTTGGGCAAGTTACATAGTCCCTGATAGCCACCAGAAAGAGGGACTGGTAAACCACTTCTGTGTACTTTATATCCAGAAAGCCCTGGGAAAGGTCACCATAAATCTGAATCAACGTGAATCAATGTGACAGCACATATTATTATTGATAGATTTATATCTAACAATACAGCAGCAGCCAGATGTAGGGGAGTGGTATCAGGAGACAGGTATCTAGCTGTCTCTTGTGCTCCCAAAGGCATCTGGTAGGGTCACCATGAGATACAGGAAGCTGGACTAAATGGGCCCTTGGCCTGATCCAGCAGGGCTCTCTTGCATTATGACCATAATAATGAATTGCAGAACTGGAAGTGACCCTATGAATCATCAATTCCAATCCCTTTCAAGGAGGCACAGAGTGGAAATGAAATCTCAACTTTTGGCTCTGCAGCCATATGCCTAAACCACTGAGCTATTCAGCTATATTACTCAGTAGTCAAAATTCAGCCATACAGTTGTGCCTCGCAGGACAAAAAACTCGCAACACAAATGGTTTTGGCGATGGAGCTGATGACTCGCAAGACAATTGTTCCTATGGCCGTGCTTCGCAAGATGAATGTTTTCCATTTTTTGTTCCTGCCTCATGTTTGCTGATTTTTAAATGTTTTTCTATGATGTTTAAAAAGTTAAAGTTTTTTGATTGGAATTTTTTCAATCATCTGCACAATATGTATAGCTTTAAAGAACACTGAATAAACCCTTTGTAAACCAAATTTGACTTTGTTCTGACTTTTTTGCCCATAGGAACGCATTAATTAGATTTCAATGCATTCCTATGGGAAAACGCGTTTCGCAAGATGAATTTTTCGCAAGACAACATTAACCGTGGAATGAATTAAATTCATCTTGCGAGGCACCACTGTATTTGTCACAATTATTGTGGGATATGGCCATCTAAATAATACTCTTGAAAGTGTTAAGCTAAAGGGCAAGGTATTCTGCTGAAACTTCAAAAACAAACACTTGGCATTTGAAGAAGGAATGGATTTTCGTTAAACAGAATGGATATGACTTCCTAAAATAGATTAAAAGGTACAGAGTAGAATAACATTCAAACTGCCATTATTTCTTAGATTAGCATGCAGCTGTTTTATTACCTGGAATGTCTTATTCAATACCACCTGTCATCTCTGTGCAATTAGGAAGGCTAGAAGATTTTCATAAGTTGGATCAGCATGCCTTTGTGCTTGACATTTTATTAAAAAGAGAAATTCCCAGAGCATTTTAGCTCAATCCATGAACTATGAGGATTAAAAAAAATGTGGCCCTCATTTCCCAGGCTCCTTAGAAAGAATGGTGCATTGTCACTGCCTCCTACCTTTCCATCACTACCATCTACTTCTTTAACTCCTTTCATCTGCTTCCTTCCTTCCGGCACCAAATCTAACAGCTCTTCTACCTATCACCTGTTATTTAAGTACTTCACACACTTTCTACCACTAATACCTCCTTCTCTTCATCCCTTCTTCCTCCCATCTCAACTGCGTCCCATCAACTAACACTGTCATCTCTTTCCTATTCTCAACATCTCCTCTCATCTGCGTCATACACACCCCATCACTGCCATCTCCTCCTCTTCCTCTTCTTACCATTGCTTCCTCCTTTCTGCTTCCTCCCCACTTCCATCATCTGTTCCTCCTCATCTGTTTCCGTCAGGCATTACAACTTCCCTTCTGTTGATTCTTCCCATCTCTTAATGCATTTTTCTTGTTATAGCTTCTTCATTTTGTACTTCCACTATAGCTGTGTGGAGAGCAGCTGGAAGTAATATTTCCAACTGCTGGTCTCTGATGACCTTTCGGAGCCAAGCAATTTTGGGGAGCTCCCCAGGACAATTGTCTGTGCAATGGCAGAAAGGATTTTCCCTCACAGCATAAGCAATTTGCTGGGAATTTGCCTCATTTCCCAAGACAAACAATCTACAATGTTATGTTCTCAGGAGATCTTCAGGGACCAATAGAAATAGTCACCTCTGGAGAGTTCTGCAACACAAAAGTGGTGTGAGCTGCGGGGGGGTGTGCTGGGAATTTCCTGCTCCCAAGCACTTCCCTAGCACCAAGGGTGCTCCCTCCCAGCCATTTTTGCCAGACATTTTTCCTTTAACATTAGGCCTATGCTACTGCTAAAGCCTTACATGTCTCCCTACCAATGGCTTGGCAAAGCACATTTCAGGAAAGGAGGGAGTCTGACATTAAAGAGATTTCAAAGGTTTGAATATTGTGAGCATTACGGTCCAGGACATAATGGCTTGTTGTTGTTTTTAATAGGGAGGAGTTGGTTTATTTTGAATTTGGGTTTATACCCAACTTCAAATTTCATTATCATCCAAGCTACAAAGCCTGAATTAAAACTATAGTAAATTATGTGATTACAGTATGAAGGATATCCCACTGAAAGACACTCTCCTGTCTTGGGTATGAAAACAGAAGGTATTGTTATTTGATTCAGAACAAGATGATAGATCTGAATTCAACTTAAGAAATGTTGAGAAGGGGCGGGGGAAGCTTCCTTAGAAAAGTAACAGGAAAAAACAGGAGCTATGGCACTGTGCTTGCCTAAAGATCCATTGTAGGAAAATAAACACCACCCTTGAACCTGGTGACCTGACAAAAGATGGGAAAAAGTAATAGTAAGAATACTAACATCAAAATACGTTTATGCATTAGCACTTTAGACAGATATAGCAGAAGACCCAATGGGCACTTTGAAAATAATCACACATAAGAGTTTCCAGGCATCCCCTCACCTAGGGCTGATGCTTCCACTTAAAAATCTACTACAGCAATCTGTCTCTGACAACACAACATAAATAAAAGCATTGTGAAGCAACACAATTACTTTAAGTTTTTTTAAAAAAATTGAACCGTAATTCTCCCTTGGTAAGTTCAGACTATTGTCATATAGCAAAGCACAACACAATAAAATCACTCTGCTTCCTACACATTCCAAGCATTCTCTTGTATTTCCTTTGCACATCTCACTCTGCACATATTTTTGTCATTCTGAACTCTTGACTTGTTTTAATGTGATTAAAATCCCCACCATGAACACTGAAATCTGAAGTCTAATTTCAGTGATAGAAAGAAGAATGAATGATGAGAAGATCCCCAGAAAACAACATAAGCCAGGTTTATGCATTAGCACATACAATACTTTCAGTGGAAAATAAGCCCGAAAAGAATTCCCTGTTCTTAATGAAGTCAAATGGGTTTCAAACAGGCATGAGGCTAAATAGAGAACATATAATTCATCTGGCAAATAGTGGCAAATTCCAAAAGAGGAATGAAGAAAATCTTAATTATTATTATGGCTTTAAAATAGCTACAAAGTATGAAGAAACAAAAAACACTAAAACTGTAAAGATAGTTACACAGGCTGAGTCATACATGAAGCGCATTATTGATCATGCATATTCTGGTTTTCATTATAAAATTATTGTGAAAGCTACCTGATCCATAACATAACATTTGACTTGAATTCCACATAAACACTCCACAAACAACACCTGCATAAGAAATTGCTCTTTGAAGGAGAACCCAAGGTGCTTTTTAACTTAGTGTCTGTTTCTAGTCTTATATATGTTTACTCAGAAGAAAGTTCCATTGAGTTCAGTGGTACCTAGATCAGAGTGTGTGCATATAAAAATGGCAATCTTGCAGCCTATTTGGTTTGCTTGGCATAGGCAACACAAAGCAGGTTATTGCCCAGAAATATTTACCGTGTTTTTCCGTGTATAAAATATTCCCATGTATAAGATGCCCCCCTTTTCTAACACAAAATTAAGAAACCTAAGTGGGGCTTACCAAATGTAGGGTAAAAAGGATCAAAGTGCTGCAGGATAGTTTTGATTCCTGCTTTCTCCCTTTGTGCTAAGCCCGCCATGGCTTAGCAAAAGGAGGGGAAAAGGGATCAAAGCAATTCCACGACTGCACAATCATTTTGATCCCTTTCCCCCTTACACAGCCACAGGATTGCTTTGATCCTTCTCTCTCTTTTTCCTAAGCCCCATGGGACTTAGCAAGCATAGGGGAAAGCAGGGATCAAAGCCCTGCAGGATCACTTTGATCCCGATCTCTTTGAACCCTGCTTTCCCCTCCACTTGTTCTTTTCTCCTCAGCTTACTTCAATGTATAAGATGACCCTCAATTTTTAGTCTAAAGATTTTAGACAAAAGTATAGTCTTATACATGGAAAAATACGGTTATGTGAAATAAGGACAGCGAGAAAGGTATCAACATTGTGTTCTTGATGTGGAATTACTTTGTTACTGTTAAGGATACCTGAGTCATTGTCACAATTGTGATTGTTGCCGTTACGGTTGTTTACCAGGTTTAGAGATCAGGCATCCTTCAGTCTCGAGAGACGATGGTAACATGCTCTGAATAGAGGACATGGAACAGCATCTAGTGTGGCTGAGAAGGCCAAAACGAGAGTGACAATTCCTTCCACACTGAAGACAAATACAATCCGTCCCCTGTCCAGCTCCCTGATTTTGCTGGTTTTGGTACTGCCTCTTTGCCTCCGCCTGCTGGACAAGTGTCTCTTCAAAATGGGAGAGGCCATGAAGCACCGCATGCCTCTAGGCTGAATGCTCAGATGTCAAAGTTTCCCATCTGTTGAGGTCCATTCCTAAAGCCTTCAGATCCCGCTTGCAGATATATTAGGTTACATTTTCAGAAATAGGTTTCTTACCTTCCTCTTATTAGTAGGACTAACGTAAAGGTAACTCAGCACTGTCTTCAGCCCCACCTTGTCATTCAGTTTTTCATAAGTGGTACCATAATCTGTGGACCTGAAATGAAAAGAAAGCACATTTCATTACAACTGAGTTGTAGACCATGCTGTGACTATTGTAGTTACCACTGAAGAAGAGAGAACTGTGGGACTAGAAAGTTACCACGTTCTTTACCTCCAGTGGGCACTTTTTATAGATATTGATGCTTTCCTATCAGTTGAAAACCTTTCATTCACAGAAGGGAAAATCTGGACTCAGCACATTATGTTCTTTTGGTATTGTCTAGATTTGGACCAAGGATATTCACATTAGGCAGGGGACTGTTCTGATCACATAAAGTATTTTTTCTATAAACAGCTGATTTTGAGTTTGTGCAATGAAATGTACATTTCATATCATGAATGGTAAAAATGTAAGCATAGGCTCATACACCGAGCTTGGAAACAGAAACTTTTGGGACTACTGTAAGTTGATTGGAGAATTTGGGGAGCTGATGTTGGAAAAGGTGGTCTTTCCCAGCTCTCACCATGCATTATTCAAGCAGGCAGTTTCCTACTCCCCTCTGTTTCCCAAAAAGCAAGTCTCTCAAGCATTCTGTAGAGAAGCCTGTATGAATGATTAGAGCCATGCTTGAGGGCTGACAGAAGAGTGGAGGACAAATTGCAGGAACCTGACCAATGCACATCTAGGCTTCCATGTACAAGTACTGGAGATTTTACTTGCTCAGACTACAGCTCTTAGGATTAGTCATGTTGTCTGGAAAATTATGGGAGCTGTACTCAAAAATTAAATTCTCCAATCCCTATCCATGCTAGATGTCCATCTTGTGTGTTCTTTTGCTGGAGGAGATAACCGGTCCATTTATTACAGCACAAGGTAAAGTAATGCAAATAACGTGGATGTTGTGGCTCCCTTAACCAACAGAAGAATCTTCTCATAGATTTTATGACTGGATTGCATTCTCTTTCTATATACAGTAGATTCCCAGTATGTTGTAGTGGATAGTGACAGACCAAGACTCAATGGATACAGTGATGGACTAGGACGGGGTTTGAATCCCCATTTAGTCATAGAAAATCCCTGGGGGGGATGGAATTGGTAAAACAACTCCTTAAATATCTCACTTTCCTTGAAAGCCCTATTAAGGTCACTATAAGTCAGTTCTGACTTGACAGCACACACACACTTTCTATATGACATCAAAGTTTACTGAGTTTCATTTTCCATATGATTCTCTGAAAAAAACATGGTGACATATTTGTATGGATGATAATACCACATTTTTACACACATGTCAACATACATTCACTTATGCTCCAATGGCACAAGCATAATGAGCAAAAACAAAACAAAAATCACTTAAAAGAAGTATGAGGAAGTATGGGGAATAAATTAAAAATAAAAATCAGGAGGAAACAGAGGAAATAGTGAATGAAGATACTCAGAGATAAAAGGAAGTCTAAAATGGTGGAGAATTAATTCATCCCTGGTCATCAGCCAAACTCTCATCTTCACAATACCAAGATTAAAGCAACTGCTTCTGTGCCAAGTATCATATTTTTGCCTTAGAAGATACTGATCTCTGTGCCAGCAAAGTCTGGAACATGCAACAGATGATCTTGAGGTAACGTTCCACTATTTGTGACTGTCAGGATGTGAAGACTCTGTCTCCTAGGCATTTCTGTTCTATACCTGATCTGTTTTTCATAATTTGTTTCTTTGGGGGCGGGGGTTCAAAGAAAAGGCATGTTTTCTCTTCATTTATTTATTTTTATTGGTAAGAGGCCCCAGTGCAAGACAGATACATGCATAGAGAAAATCCTATCTCAATGTTCTGTGTTCACTGTGGTACCAAACAAAAAAAGCATATGCAAATCCCTGAAATGTTTGTTATTATTCCTGCTCAGACTGCTGTCCAGCTGCTGGGAAGTTTTAAGGTCTCTGATCTTCTTTTGTATGTTTCCAATGGCATCTGATGACATACCTTTGCAATAATTCCCACTTATTATATTTGCATTTATTATGACAAATGTATTTTTGCAGGCCCTGCCATAACAGAAGCATTTTTGGCCATTAACAAGTATCATCCAGTTCACATCTTACATGGGCTGAAATCCTATTGCTTAACGTAGCATACAAGAGGAGGCCCATTAAATCAGTGGGGATTTGTAACTCTTCTGTAAGTTCAATTGATTCAAATGGGCCTTTTCTATTTGTAATTAGGAGCAACAGGATTTCATCCATTGACACACAGCTATGTTGGACTCATTTGTGACATTTATTTCCCACCTTTCTACTAATGAGCTCAAGAAAGTGAACATCTATCCTCACACACTATCCTCACAAGAACCCTGTGAGGAAGCTCAGGCTGAGAAATTTTGACAGGCTCAAGATCTCATAGTTCTAGGAGATCTGAACCACATTTCCCTAGCCAACATCCTAAAAAATGAAAATGCAGGGCTATATGTTTACATCCCAGTCATAATACCCACTTATTTCTATATCTTTCTATCAGTTCCCAGCTGGGTGCACATTTATTTAGCCTCTGCGCCAAGTCCTTCTTGCATTAGAAACATGTGATTTAGATATGTGTTGCTTGTTCAGGAAAAGTGGAAAGTTACACCCACCTATTTGGAGGCAGAGCACAAGGTCAAGTGATTGTGGAATCCATACGAAGAGAGGTATAAATCAATACCACTGACCAGCCGTGTCAAATCATGTCCCTTGCCAATTTCTACAATTGGCTTTTAATCTTAAAATGGGCCAAGACAACTTGAGAAACCACAGATTTAAAAGCAGTTGGTTGGGATCCAAATTCTGTACCCATCTGTCTTGATATTGAGAGCAGGCTTATTGCTGACAAGTGACCTCCTCTTAAAGCAGAGTTTGGAACTAGAGTTCCATCATGTACAAAGCTGAATACTGCTAATGCAGGAGCAATTAAATCCACAGCAGAAGACATGCAATAGCTGCAGATTCACAGGGTCAGGAAACTCTTAATGGATGAATATCCCTAAATGCTTTGTAATGGAAATAGCATGAGTACTAACACGGTTCTTCGACCTAACCCCACTAGTAGGGCTAAAGCTCTACAGAATACAAATTCATAATATCCAAGAGAAAGCACAGATGGAGCCATCCGAGGTGGCAGACAATTGGAGTGAATGCTAATGTATTGGGATAAACATAAGGGTGGTGTATTTTGCAAAAGAAAACAGCTGTCCTGAGCAAAATATCTAGTGTTTTCCTCAGTTCATCATAGAACTGTAAATGAGGAAACTGTTTCCGTATTTAGAGTGAGGGCAAGAATCACTGCCATCTTTCTGCACTAGCTTTGTGACATTACATAGAGGGCCAGTTTGCTTCAAAAATGAATGAAAAATAAAACAAATGGACATGGACCAGCATTCTACATTTAATAAAGTAAAATAAATGTGAAAACAAAAACAGGAAAAAAACTTGTGCTGGGCATAGTTGTTCCTTTTTTTACAGGTGCTTTTTTAAAAAATCTGCCTGAAATTGCCAGAATTGATCTGAAATATTCCTCCCAGAGTACTGTGCTGTTCACGGCATTAGTAACCCCCTGTGTTCATGCTTTCTGAATTATCTGAAGGAGTTCTTGGCTCAAAATGGTTACTGAGATACATTTTACGAAGTGTGCTTTGAGTGAGAATATCTTTAGACCTGCTTATTTTGTTAAAAATGTTTTTCAGAAGTGCATATTTTGTGAGAAAATAAAAATTACAGTACACATCTAAGTACACGATTAAACACTTATGCATTTCTTTCAAAATCCATAGAACAGGAACATAATGGACTCAGGTGGACATATGCACAAGTGACATGATCTGATAATTGCCTGATCAATCCATCACCATATAAGATTCTGCAGCAAAAGAATCAGTAAATAGGTTCAGTAAGGAGCATATTATGAGAGCAGTGTTGATACTATCTTTGGTAGAGGAAGGCATCCATGTCAGGCCACAGATTTGAGGTAGTCATGAAAGGAGAAACAGCTGTCATTCAATTTGTTTGTATTGCTTTTTGACTACTCAAAATAAGGAGAAGTTGAAGGAATTTGGTGAGATGTTCTTACTATTCACCTACCCTGGAAGGAGTATGATTTGCTCCTTGCAAATGTTTGGGGCACTGGATTCCCAACAGATATACCGAGTCAGACCCCTGTTTATTTGTTCCTCAGGGCTCCAAGATGTAAAATGTTTCCCAGCTTGCTAATGACTCATCGTTTTTATCAGGCCAGTCTTCCTTCACTCATCTTTTCACTGACATTTTTTTACAGAGCCCATTCAAACCTTCATTGAACACAATGCACCTCGGCTGGGAGAAATAAACTCATCAGACATTTTTCAGATGCTTGAATCAATAAAAAGCCAAACTTTAAAAGTCAGTCTGTCTCTGGACAGTCCCCGAACAGGCTGCTGCAGATTTGTGACTATAATGAAAGAATGAGAAGTTACAGGAAATGTCAGTCCTTTTAGATTTGAGAATTCAAAGCAGGAACTGACGTACTATATTGAAGGGTGAGCCAAGTTAAAGTGAAGTGGTTGTCACAGGTACCAGATTTTGGGGAACAGCACAGCCTGCCCCTGTCCTTGAGCAGCATAAGGCTTCCAGACAATGGGTGAACCATAAATAACATCACTCAATTCCACTTTTGTTACTAGCTATTTTTAAATATATTAGGAAGAACACTCTGTGCTTTGTCTTCATGGACATGCATTCAAAAGCGCATACATTTTAAAAACATATGCTCAAGGTATTCTTAAACATACGTAACTGAGAGGCAGCATGGAGGCCAGGAAGCTGGGAGATGCAGGATACAGTCCACACTGAATATCACTGAGCCATGATATTAAGTGGATGTCATAAGACCCATCAAACCCCCTCTCAGGCTGATGTGCATGACAGTACTGTTGTTAGGATGACACAAGGAGGAGGAGGGCCATGTATGCCTCATTTTGCTCATCAAAGCGAAAGTGAAATAAAAATGTAATCTATCTATCTATCTGCACAAATTTTCAGATAGGCTAACATGT